CCGCTAGGACTCGGGCGCTGAGGAGGAGAAGGCCGGGGCGGCTGCTGTCAAGAAGCCGTCTCCCTCTAAGGCCCGCAAGAAGAAGTTGAACAAGAAGGGCCGGAAGATGGCAGGCCGCAAGCGCGGGCGCCCCAAGAAGATGAGCGCCGCCAACCCCGAGCGCAAGCCCAAGAAGGCCCAGGGGGCCCTGGACCTGCTGCACGCCCAGGCCGTGTCGCGGGCGGCGTCGCCCTCGCCGCAGGGTGAGCAGCCGCGCAGGACCCTGGGCACCTCTCCCGTCCCTTTCCTGCCCTGGCACAGCCAAGGGCAGTCCCGGCGGGGCTGTGACCCGCACGCTCAGAGGCCACTACTGGGGGCACCAGGGCGCTTGTCTTGGCTTCTCAAAGGGTGCGGCTCAGCTCTGGTGCTCACGGGCTCCGGGAGCCGTATTGAGTCTTATGGTTAGAAGGCTGGAGGGGTCCCAATCCGGGACCCCCCGCCTCTGGGACAGCCGTCTGCAGAACATGACGCCACTGTCCCCCCACAGATGCACACAGGCCACCTCACAGCCCGTTCTACCAGCTACCTCCCAGCGTGCAGCGGCACCCTCCCGAGCAGCTGCTGCTGGCACCCACCCCACCCGCACTGCAGAAGCTGCTAGGTGAGCGGCCGCGCGGGGTCCGCGCTCGGTCCCCCTCGAGGCTCGGCAGGAGGTGCGGGGTGGGGAGCTGCTCGCTCATCTGCCACCCCATGGAGCCCCGGCTATGCGGCTGTCCACACCAGGGGCCCTGGTGCTCGGGCTCGTCCTGCCCGGTGGGCCTGCGCTTCCGGGTCAGCGGGGCTTGTGCTGTCTTCTGAGCCCGAGGCCCTGTCCCAGGGGTGTCCGGGAGCATTGGCGGCCATCACGACCAAGGCTCTCAGTGTTGAGAGGGTGGGGCTGGGGAGCCACTCCACACCCCACTGTGCCCAGAGCGTCCCCAGAGGGTGGCCGGGCCTCTGTGTGTGCTGTGCTGGGGGTGCCCCATCAGGGCCGAGCCCGGTGCCACGCAGGGGCAAGTGAGGCCCTGCCCTGCTTAGCTGGGCAGGGGCTCACCTTGCTGAGCCCGAGGCCGTGCTCAGCTCCCTGGCTCTTTAGAGATGAGGGAGCCCCTTTGAAACTCTGGGCGCTGTAAGTCTCCCTAGCTCAGCACCAGTGGGGCGTGTTTACTGAGAATGTTGGCAGATTTGGTGACTGGAAGCCACGTGTCCTTGGGGAGGAAGGAAGCCTGGGCTGTGACGGCAGGGGTGCGAGGGACACATGGGAGGGGCAGGCGCAGGCATGGGTGGGACACCAAGGCTGCGTGGGGACAAAGACCCTGGAGTGAGGCTGCCACGGTGTGGCAGCAATGGGCAGCAATGGCCTCGCTGGGAGCCTTCGGCAGGAGTCCTCTGAGCTGAGGCCTGTCGCTTGGCTGTGCTTGTAGAATCCTTCAAGATTCAGTACTTGCAGTTCCTGGCCTACACAAAGACTCCTCAGTACAAGGCCAACCTGCAGCAGCTGCTGGACCAGGAGAAGGTGCGCGTGCCGGGCCCAGGGCTGTGTCCACGTTCCCACCACCAGGGCTGCGGGTGGTCGGAGGGGCACCTCACCCCACCCCCCACAGGGCCCAGTGGCCCTGAGGGCTGAGCCGGCCGGGCCTCGCTGTGACTGCTAGGGCCCCAGGACCAGGTGCCCCACGTGGGGAGCTGTCTCTGGGTGGCGCTCAGAGCAGGGTCGTGGGGCGTGGTCAGGCCCAGTGCGGGCGTCCTGAAGCATGAGGCCTGTGGCCCCTCATAAACAAGTCGCCCTGCAGCGCCGTGTAGTGCTCCCCTGCCAGGGAGTCCTGATGCCAGGGTGGGTGGCCCCATCTCTGTGTCAATCCTCATCAGTGAGGCAGGCCACGAGCACCCTCCTTCTGGCCTCTGGGGGCCAGGGGACAGGCCTCCGCTCACGGCCCCCGATCCTCAGGAGAAGAATGCCCGGCTGCTGGGTGCTGCGCAGCAGCTGTTCGGCCACTGCCAGGCTCAGAAGGAGGAGATCAAGAGGCTCTTCCAGCAGAAACTGGACGAGGTAGGGATCCCGCTGCCCTGGGCCGCGTGAGGCCAAGTGGATGGCCCACTCACGGGACTGGGGGAGTGGGACCCGGGAACCGGGGCCCAGCGCGGACTGCCGGGGTCAGGAGGACCGATGGCCATTCTGGTGCTTTTGATTTTGCCAGTCTCCCTGATGGAGAGCCTGGAAGCTGGGGTACAGTCAGGGCCGGTCCCCGCTCAGCCCCAGGGGGCTCACCCCCACCCTTGCCCGCATCCGCCCACTCCCTGAAAGCCCGCCTTTG